TATTTACAACATCACCCATGTAGCACATTTTGACCCATAAGGGGTAGAATTGTAATTTCACTAGTGACATTTTGTCTTCAAATGCACCAACTTCCCAGATGTCTTCAAATACAAAAAAGCCAACTTTTAGCTTTTGCTACAAATGCATAAACGTGACTAAAAACCAAGTACCCAAAAGAGGCCAGATGAGTCTGACTTGGTGACCTCTAGTATTTTAGTATAGAAAAATGATCCGTTGCTCGAAATTGCTGGCTCGAAATTGGCCCGAATACCCAAAACGACGTCGTTTTGGGTATTTTTTTTTCCTTTTCTTTCTTTCTCTGTGCATTCAAATACAGAGGGAAGAGACGAGAGGAGAGAGAGAGAGAGACAAGAGAGAAGAGAAGAGAAAGAGAGAGGAGGAGAATGAAGAGAGAAGGCCCTCTGTTTTCTCTAATTTTTTTCCCCTTTTCCAGTAGATCTGGATTGGAGGATGAAAGGGAATTTTTTTTTTTTTGTTAATGAAGATGATGATGATGTTGTTGCAATTTGTTGATGAAAATGTTGATCTGAATCTGCAGACCCAGGGATTTTTTTTTTTTTTTTTTTTTTGATGATGATGATGTTGAAGATGATGATGATGTTGTTGCAATTTGTTGATGAAGATGTTGATGATGTTGAACTGGATCTGCAGACCCAGATTTTGTTGATGTTGATGAACAAAAAAAAATTTGTTCAGAAAAAAATTTGTTGATGTTGATCAACAAATTTTTTTATTTTTTTTTGGTTGATGTTGATGAAACCCAGCAGTGCAACAGACCCTTCTTCTTCTTCTTCTCTTCTTCTTTTTCTTTGTCTTCAGAAAAACAACGGAAAAAAAAAACACCAAAACGACGTCGTTTTGGTGTCGGGCCATTCGAGCCACGCCTTTTTCGAGCTACCAATCAGAGTTGTTTAGTATAAAAAATGAATCTAAATGATATCTTCTTGGCTAGTCTTTTTTAGTTATTACTGTACTCAAAATTATAAAGAGAGGGAAGGGGAAAATAGGCTATAGAAAGGTTGGATGAAGTAGAAGAAATTTGTATGAGTGGAGGGAGGCAGCGAAGGGTTTGCGAAGGAAATGAAAAGAAGGTTATGAGGTTGTTGGGGAGAGGAAATGACGCGATGTGGTTATTGGGGAAGGGATGAGAGGTAGCGATTGGGTTGTTGGAGGAATGAAAAAGCTAATGATAGGGTTGGGGAAGGGAAAAAGTGGTGGGTATGATTGAAGAATTGAACTCCAAATTTCACATCAATAAATCTACTTTGCGATCATCAACTCATTGGTCTACGGTTTGGCATGAGAGGGGTGGTTAGTGGTGGAGGCGAATGGTTCAGTGATGTTAATGACAACAAAGGGAGTTTAGTGGTTAGCTGTTGATATTTATTAATGGGGTTGATAGACGTGGTGGCAAGGGTTTATTGAAGATGGTGATAGGTTGTAGTACTAGATGGTTGTGGTGGTGATGAGTTATCAGAGATGGAGGAGCTTCAAAGGAGAGTGAAAAATCCATTTAGTACCCCATCTCATATATTTTAAATAATTAGTGAGCCAAAGTTTAGAGGTAACTTGAAGGCTTAGTTTTTGAAAAAAGTTTTGAGTTGTATTTTGATAGATAAGTTGTTGAAAAGAGTTTTAAAAATTAAAAATTTGTTTGGTTATGAGTTTTGCAAATAATTTTGGTATGATTTGTATTTTTATTTTTATTTTTTTTGTAATTGAATAGATGGGTAAATTTTTTTTTGATTGATTGATATGAGGAATGCGAAAGAATGAGAGAGGAGAGATGAGAGAAGAAAGAAAAAAAAAGTGATTAATTGATTTATTAATAAAAAAAAAGAGAAAAGGAGATGAGAGAGAAAAAAATAATTTTGAAAAGAGTTTTAAAAATGTATTAACCCAACATGTTTTTAATTTTTTTTAATCCAAATATTAATTTAAAAATTAAACCAAACGTTACCAAAACATTTAACCATTGATCTACCATTTGGGGTGCTCATGTTTCGAATACCATATTGTATCTTCCCAATACACTAATCTTCTAATAAAAATCCCAATTGTTACATAGAGTTATTAGCTAGTTCTGACAAAATTTGTAGTGCATACTGGTAGATGGTTTTAGGTAGAACTCACATAAAAAATTAACTATTAAGGTGAGATTTTCCTCATGCTTATATGTTTAATATTACTTTAGTACTCAAGTGATGTGGAATTTTGTTTCATACCTTCCCTCACACCCAACATGCTCACTTGACAGAACCTGTGGTGTGCAAGCTAGGGACATGCACCTTACCCATCTCTAACTACTCAGGCTCTGATATCATGCCACCTGGTTCACATTGTCTAAGTACTAAAATAATATTAAGAATAAAAGTGTGAGGGCATCCTCACCTTAATAGCTAGTTTTTGTGGTGAGTTCTACCTAAGATCGTGTAACATGGTATTAGAGCTTGAACACTCAGGGATAGATAGGGTTCATGTCCCTAGCTTGCACATCGCAAGTGTTGTCGAATGAGTATGTTGGGAGTAAAAGACGATGTGAAACGAAATCCCACATCGCCTGAGTATTAAAGTAATATTAAGCATATAAGCGTGAGCGCATCCTCATCTTAATAATTAACTTTTGGGGTGAGTTCTCTTAAAATCGTGTAACACATATTTTCTTAGTTACAATGTTAAAATGTGCATGAAGTCACCCTACAATAGCCTTGTTTGGGAAGTAGGTTATTTTAGTTGACTATTTAGTTTTTTTTTTTTAGTTATTTTAGCTTTGCTAAAATAGTGATATTTGAGAAGATAGTTTTTTTTAGTTAGTTAGCTAGTTTTTTTTTTTTTTTTTGGTGGTAGTTGATTTGATGATTGTAAGATAAAAAAATAAAATAATTATGGGTTATGTAACATTTTATTTTATTAACTATTTTAAACTATTTTATCTTTTAGTGAGTTATTTTAGCTCAACCTGTTAGATAATGTCTCAATGGGACCACATAATTAAATGTGGTGTTATCATTTATAAGAAGCCAACAATTTAAGTGATTCAATTTAGTTAATAGGCTTAAGGGTATATGTGTTATGGACCTAATGTGTAGATACTAGTTGTATAATTTCTATTTCTATGAGGGGCAGAAATAGAAATTAAAACATATTGGTTAAAGTTGGTTTTCATTCCTTTTGAACTTCCACAACCTTTCAGTTTTGAAAACCAATAAATAGAAATTAAAACCAATAATGGTTAAAGTTGGTTTTCATTCCTTTTGAACTTCAACAACCTTTCAGTTTTGAAAACCAATTACAACCTTTAAAAGGTTATGGTCCCTATTCCTTCTCAGGTGGAAATAAGAACACTGCCATTTTTCTTTAAATCCTCTCAAGGAGAAACATAAGGCACCAAAGGGGAAATGATTAGAAGGCAATAACATAATCAATAGCAAAGAGTTCATTGATAATCATGCTTCCGTTTAACCGTTCATCAATGGATTCAGGAATGTCATTTTGTCTTGATTTCTTGATAATACACATGATAAATGATCCAAAGTGTAAGGTTTATATTCTGAAATTTATGTTAACACAATCCTCTTTTCAAACACACCTAATCACATGGTGTGCAGCTTTGGTAATTCACCAACTCAAAGTTACAATTTAGGATTGTTCTGGAAAATTGGTTAAAAGTTGACTTTTTAATTTTTTTTTATGAAACAAAGGCCAAGTTTGGCATGATTGAAAAAAGACAAAAAGTCAAAAAGTCACTATCCTATTTAAGTCGCATCATCTTATTTAAGTCACATCACCTCTCTAACACATCACTTCAAACCCAACCCAAACCCAACCCATATTTCATAAAAAATCAAAAAGTGCACTTATTTAGTTTTCCCAAATTAGGCCAAAATGTAAAAAATGTAAAGAGATGATATGACCTAAAATAAATTAAAATCCAAAAATTAACTTTTAACCAAATTTCCAAATTAACCCTTAATGTGATTAGCCTTTGTTTGACATCCCAATCTTAGGCAAAAATAGTCAAAAATGACAAAATAAATTAAAAAATTAATAATATAAAATATCACATTTAAATTATAATTATACTTATGTAATTATATTATTTTACATTGCGACGTATGTCACGTTGTCTTGTGAGTGATGGCGTGTATGACGTGCCCCCTAGTGTACTTTGGAATAAATCAATGACTAAACAATGGGGGTGTCTTTTTTGATTTTTCTGGAACTTTATTTTTATATTTAGGTTTCGTTTATCAATTATATATTTTATTATAAGTTATCACATTATTTTTTTTTATTTTTTTATAAAAAATTAAAAAATTATTAAAATAATTTGTTTCTAAACGAGACCTTAGTAAATTTAAAAAAAAAATCAAAAATTTTTATGTTTCTAAATTCAATTAGATAAGACGAACAAGAAAATTATAATTTTTTAAAAAAAATTCCAAAAAGATTTGAAAGAGACAAAAATGAAGTAAATTTTTTGACTTATTTTCATCTTTCATTTTTTCTTGAATTTTTTCAATAAAAATATATTTTTTAGATTTATCTCGATAAAACGGACCGAAAGCAATAAAAATTTTGATATAATTGTGAAAAAAAATACTAAAAACTAAAAGAAAAAAATTTCGGTCAAGATGGGCCAATATGTACCTTTGAATTGGGATAGTTAAAAAAAAAAAAAAATTGATAATGACTAGACCACGTGTACCTTTGACTGGGACTTCAAATAAGAGAAGAAATAAAAAAGAAAAGAAAAAAGAAAGGACAATAATCACTTAAAAAGTTATATTATTCTCTATAAAAACATATATTAAAATACATGAAAAATATTATAATATTCACAATCCATTGTTGCCATTAGCAAAATCCAAATAAAATTGTTATTATTTGAGGTATTTATCTGTTGCTCACTATGCTATGCAGATAAGCAAAGTGATTGATATTATTATTCCATAGAAAGAGATAAGAAATGGGGATTTTACATAAGTGCCATTTGTTGAACATTGATTGGGTAGCAATCAGAAGGTGGGCCAGAGTAAGCTTTTCTAGCAAGGATTTCATTGGCTGCTTGGGTTGGATGGAAGGCATCCCAAAACACATACTGATTCCTGTTAATGCATGGTACTGAAAATGGAAGGCATGTTATTTGCCCTTGATTTCTCCCAAGTCCACAACACCCTCTATCAGTTACATTAAATCCTGCAATATAAACACTCAAACACAATGAATTTAATTCTCAAAATCTTGTACTTGTGGATCTTTGGAGCAATGTTATGTAAATAGTTTTTATAATTTCGAAGTAAAAGATTTATAATTTCGAAGTAATGTATTGATTTTATAATTTCGAAGTAAAAAAAAAAATAATGTATTGATTTTATAATTTCGAAGTAAAAGATTTATCAAAGTAGTTTGTGTGAATTATATTTTATTCCTTTTATGTTTAATTATTTTTGTCACTTTGGCCTCTTAAGTTTATTTATTTATTTATTTATTTTTCCATTTTGTCCTTTCATGTTTTAAATTTTTTTTTTCAATTTACATCTAAAATTAATTTTTATTCAAAATTAGACAGAAAATGATACATTGATAGTCACGTGATATGCAAATATTTTATTATGCACAACTTGCATATTTTACACAAATCCAAACTCTAATATAATAATATATTTTTATGTTATGTGACAGTTAACGTGATATTTTCTGTCTATATCTCACTAGCTAAGAGTGTTAGTTAACTATGTTTAAAATGATTATACATTTTTTTACACGATATGCACTTTGATAAAGAATGTGAAAAATTCATTAAATTAATAAATGTTTGGGCTAGATGTTTCAAACCATCTATTAAGATTGCACATGAATGAAATCATGAAATTTTTGTGACCATAATATGTGTATTTTAGAGGCCTTACCATAAGCAGTTGGATTGTTAAGTATGTCACCAAAAGCTCCAAAAGTGTTTCCAAAAGCAAAGATGGCATCAGGGTAGTGTTTAGAGTTGAGCTGATCAACAAGAGATCTTAGTCTTGTGTTGAACATTCCAACAATATTATTCACATAGGCTACACACTTCCCAGAGGGTGCAAGTCCAGTTGCTAGCTGATTTGGTATGCAACCAAGAGGCCCAATTCCTCCCAACAAGAACTTCCTTAGTCCTAAGCTATTCAGTGCCTGACATGCAAACCATTTTCACAACTTTAGATGTCAATTTCACTTTCTTAGCCAACAACAAATAAGGCCATTGAAATTTATTCTACTTTCTTTAATTTTTTCTCCCTCTTCCGGTAAGTCATTTTATTATTTATTATGCATTAGAAGGTATTTAAAAAAATTATTTTTATAAAACATAAGCTAAAAACCAAAAAAGTCAAAGGACTTTTCTTCTTTTGGCGTTTAAAAGTTGACATTCATTTTATATTTTTACAGTTAACTAAAACTGAAAAAGAAAATATAAAAGAAATAAATAAATAAATAAAAACCCAATTCTAAAAGAAGATTACCAAGAACCTTGACTTATGATGTTTAAGGAAAAAAAAATTCAAATCCATTTTTCACCGAAAAGTCTAATTTAACCACTTTAAAAAAGCCACTGTAGAAGCTAAAAAGTTAGTAATATCCCATATAAACTAGTTTTTTTTAGTATTAGGCTTTGTTTGGCAAGTGGCTGTTTCAGTCAAAAAATCAACAAATTACTAAAAAAATCAAAAAGCCAACATCTCATACAAAAAAGTCAAATATTCTATTTTTTCTCTACTTTTTGCACATCTTTTCGTTAAAAAATTAAAAAGTTATATCGCAAACATACTAGTTTTTTTTACCTCATATTTTAGTCAAAAAATCAAAAAGTTACTAAAATAGCCTGTTCCCAAACAAGGCATAAATTTGTTTTTGTAGGTTTATTTTTAGCCAATAAACTAATTTTTTAACTAACTCCCAAAAATAAGTTAATTAGTGGTTTTAGTTGCAATCAACCTAATCTCAAGTCTAGTAACACATTATCCAAACATAGAATGGACAAAAAAATAAAAAAGTAAAAGATAGTTATGATTTTTTAGAAGTAAGCCCCTTCGACAAAATTCTGTAAAATCTTATCCATTCATATAATTTATGTGTTTGATCAACATTTAATTTCTGTCTTCTTAGAGCATCTCCAACGGTAATAGGCATTTTATCTATCTAAACATTACTATAAAGTATATATTTTATTTTGCCTATCAACTATTTCATGTTTCTACTCTAACCATGCTCTTTATTTTAGCTATTCATCAAAATACTATTAATTTTATAAAATGCCACATCAGCAACAAAGATGGAGGGAAATGATCCTGATGATTAAATACATTTTGCCTAGCCTTGAAGACTAACTACATGTAGCTAGTGAATGTGAGTTGAGTTAAAATGCCTAATCATATGCCTAGTGCATTGGAATTGAAAAAAATGAGTTATACGAGGCATTTTGACTAACATGCATGATATACCTAGTGGGTTTGAGATGCTCTTAGACTAACTAGTGCCATGTGGCTGCCAAAAACGCCAGAAAAGCCATTTGGCAAGTGCCAAAAACGCAGTCGTAAAATTACAAATTAGGGCCTATGAAAAAAAAAATAAAAAAATAAATCTCTTATGTTGGGTAAGGGTATTTTGGTCATTTTAATTTGATTTGATACCATAAATAAATATTAAACTAAAAAGCAAAAAGCCAACTTTTTACCAACTTCCCAAATTACTTCCAAAAAAGTAAAAAAGCTTGGTAAAAAGTCAAAAGCCAATTTTTTACTAACTTCCCAAAACAACCCCTAGACAACAATAAGTCCATCACATAAATCAAAATAGAAACTACACCCAAAATATATGGATAAATAAGATTTTTTTAGAAGTGGAACCTACCAACAAATTTGTAAAATTTTGTCTATCATCTACATTTTTTGTGTTTAATTCTCTGCATTTTTAGAGACTTATTTGAAGAAAAAAGGGGGGGGGGGGGGGGGGGGGGAGTGGGGGTGGGGGATATGAGTCTTACTAATATTTGCCTTGCATAACGTTGTATGAGAAGATCTGCATAAGCTGTAGCATTGTAAATGAAGCTAGTTGGATATGTATAAGGAACCAGGTAGTTATTAAGGTAGTCATTGCTACCTAGTATCATCACAACCAATGCCTTTTTAAGATACTCCCTTAATTCTTGCTCACTCATTTGGTTCTTCAATTGATTCAATGTGTTCTCGAAGTTCTGAACCTGTTGACTTAAACTGAACCTTTCACCCTGTGAATAAGTAAAAAAAAAAAAAAAGGTAAATTACACTGACTTCTCTTGAAAATTGAAGAAAATACAACAAATTTTACAATATTGATGGAAGTAGGAATTTTACTAGATTTCGACCAGTCTCCTCTAGGATGCCAGCGGCGGCTGAAGCATAATTTACACCGTTGAGAATGTTTCTTCCAGTAGCCAACGGATTTGCATAAGCTGGAAGATATGAAGGTATCTGTAACAGATCTCCTACAAAAACAAAGTTTTGACAATGCAATTGTATTGTTGTTATAAAGTAGTACTTTTCAAGAAAGTATGCTAAAAATTGTTAAACACAAATGCTTTGAAGCATATTTATTTAAAATAAATTATCTTTATAACTTAATTTTCCCTTACTCTAAGGTCATGTTTGTTTAGGTGGACATGAGCTTGGGATTGGATTAATAGTCCAATAAAATTATTAATCCGATATTTGGTTAAACAATTGAAGTATGGATTAATTATTTTAAACTTGACTATTAGTTAAGATAGGATACATAATCCAATGGATTGGTAGTCCTAGGACTATTAATCATGGGAATACTAATCCAGTCCGCCCAAACAAACACGGCCTAAAAGAATTTGTTGATCGACTAGTGGCAAAGCCGTTCCTAGAATATAACAAGGTTTACTTGACTGAAAAGTAGCAATTATCAAAATTAAAGTTTCATCAATGATTTTTTTTTTCAAACAATAATGCAAAGAGCACAGAAATATGACACAAAATTGTGCACATAAAGTATACTGTTTGGTTAATATTCACTATAGATAGGGTTAAAAATGAATCAAGCCGAGTTAAGTTTTGCAGGGTTTGAGCTCGGTTCATTTGTTTATTGAGCTCGACTTTATAACTAATCGAGCTCAAGCTTGGCTAGACTTAACTTAGAGCTCGATAACGAATTTTCATCCCCAATATTTATATTATTTAAATATATAAATAATATATTTATATATTATTTAATTACATATATTTAAATAAAAATAAATAAGAAGGACTTATTCGAGTTTGAACTTAACTCGTTTACTAAATGAGCTTAGAAGTTTGGCTCAATGAATTGAGCCAAGTCAATCTTTGCGAACAGCTCGTTTTTTTGCAGCCTTAATTATAGGTGTAGTGTGGGTGGAAAATATTTGGGCGTAAAATGAAGGAGAAAGAAAGCAGTTTTACCAAGATAGTCAATGATGGTTCTACCATTGGAGAATCTCCCAGAAGGGCCCTCATAGAAATCAACACCATAAGGCACATAGTTTGCTTTGGCAATAGAGCTGAGGTAGTTGTTATTTCCATTGTCTGTTAATGAATCTCCAAAAGCAAACATGGCTGTGAACTGCGGTGTTGATGGTGATGGTGATGATGCCAATGCCATGACTACCAGTACTCCATTAGACAAAACCACCATCAAAGAGATAACCAGCAATCTAGGGCATGAAGTTTCCATGTTTACACCTGATCTCGCTCTCTTTTGCCTCTTCAAAAAAATGCAAGCGGTTTTGGTTTATATAGTTGATGGCATTCAATGGACAAAAAAGTGTGAATGCTATTAAAATTAAAGCAATTTGAGCTTCCGTTTGGAAAGTGAGTTAATTTTTTAGTTTTTTAACTTTTTTAACTATTTGAGCTTGGGCTCAAAAGTTTGGTTTGGAAAGGACTTTTTGACTTTTTGACTTTTTTTGTGAGAGAAGAGTGTAATGATTATAGGTTGGATATGATGTTTTGTCTATTGTGGCTCAAATAGCCTATTCTGTCTTTTGTGGCTCAAAGAGCTAAAAGAGCCCAAATGAGCTCTTCCCAAATGACACTTGAGAGTGAACAACAATGCTAGAGGCCTCGAATACGAGGCCTCGAATTTGGCTCGAATGCCGTTTTTTTTTTCCTGTTGTGGCAGTTAATTTTTTTTATTTTGTTTTTTTATTTTTTTTTAAGGGTGAGTTAAAATGTCTAATATAAAATATTAGACATTTTGCACCAACTCATTGTATAAAATTATATGAAATTAACAAAATTTAACTAACAACTTAACTGATCAGTCAATTTTATCACATAACCAGTCCAACTTAATTGACTGATCAATTAAACTGTTGGTTAAAATTCATTAATTCCATATAATTTTGTACGATGAGTTAGTGCGGGATGTCTAATTTTTTGGCACACCCTTACACATAACTACCTTTAAAAAAAAAAAAAAAAACCAAACCAATACAGCCTAACAAATAAAATAAAATTGATTAGTCAATTTTATCACCCAATCAGTCTAACCCAACTCACTTGCAGAATGTTTAATTTTTTAGCACAATCCTATACATAACCACCCTTACAAAAAGAAAAGAAAAGAAAAGAAAAGAGAGAGGAAAAAAAAAAAAAAAACCAAACTAACACAGCTTTAGAAAGAAGAAAAAAAAAATCGAATTCGAGGCAAATTCGAGATCTCAAGCATTAATCTTGAGTGAAATAGTTTCTTTAATGACGAATTCCACCATCTAATATGCATGACAAATATTATCGTTTCTGATGGGTTATATAGCTGGTTTTGTCTAGCGACTATTTTGCTATATTTTTGAACAAAGACTAATGTCAGGGATCATAAAAAAATTTCATGAAATTTTTCATACTTATTTTTTATCCTTTAATTAGTATGTAGTATTTTATTATATGTGTAATTCAAAAGTCGAGAATTTTTATAAAATATTTCATAATTTTTATTTTATATATATATATATATTTTAATCCTTAACATTATCCTTGAACAAATATAACCTTTGACAGTTAAAAAAATTTTAAAAAAAAATTTATTTTATTATTTTGGGATGAATAATGTGAAGTTCTTTTGCTCATTTGATGAATAGTGTGAAGCTCTTTTTACAAATAAAAGTTAAAAACGGATTGGAGTACACAACAATATCCATGAATATTTAAAACTTTTTTCTCCATATCTTCGCCTTGAATTCTTGCTTTTGTCTGTAGCCTTTTTTTCTCCTAGTTTTAGGTCTTGTACTTCTTTCAGTTACTCCCTCCTTGTCATTTCCTCCCTCCTTTATGTTGTTTTCTAGGGTTTACAATAGTATTGGGTTGGGAAACGACTTTTTAGTGATTTTTTTTATTAAAATATGAAGTGAAATTTTTTAAAGTATTTGATAATAATTTTACTTTTTACCAAAAAAAAAAAAAAAACATGTAAAAAGTAAAATAATGTGAATGAATCTATTACTTTTTAATTCTTTAGCCAGTTATTAAACACCGGTTGAGTTTTTGTGTTGCTCTTTTTTTTATTATAAAAAAAATAGAAATTGATTTGACAAAATAATTTTAAAATTTTGAAAATTATTTTGACCCCCCAAAAAATTTAAACTATATAAAAATGACAAGTGTTTCTTTTCCAACACTAAAGTTAGTTTTAAATTTTATTTTTCTTAACAAAAAATGATTATAAAAACCTAACAAAACATGTAGTTTACATTATTTGGATTATGTAGCATTGAGTTTGAAGGAGATGGAAAAGTATTAAAGATCACAGGTAGACTAAATAATCCTGTGAAAATCATAATTTTTAATGGCACTAGTGATGCACTTGGAAAGTTTGCCATGAGGTTTCACTAATTATTGCTTTTCATTTGAAGGCTAAACTAAGGTTGTATAATAATTTCATGCAAACTTGGTAATAATTATGTTTTCATTTTCTTTATTTTTATTTTTGGTTGTTCTTGTTTCTAATTTTGTATTGGGTGATTGAGAATACGCGAGTGAATATAATAAATGATAATTGATGAAGGAGTATGAACATGTGATACTACAAGAGTACCTAATAATTTTTCACCCAAAAAGTACCTCTGGATTACCAACAGAAGAGAAACCATTCTCTTTTGTTTTACAAGATTTCAAAAATAAAATAATTATAGGTCTGGCTGACAAGTGTCTCTAGGATACAAGTAAATGATAAAAATTTTGAAGAACACAAGACATTTTTTACTAAATTCAATGAACTTTTACTGAAATCAATACACTTTATTTTCAAGACATTTTATACATACTTTTCAATAGGGGGCATTTGTTACCATTTGCCAATAATTAAAAGTTCAAAATTAATATGATTTTCATGTGGTTTTTTGTGTGTATATGAGAAAACAATTTTGAAAAATATTTTTGTTACAATATCTAAGAGAGAGAGAGAGAGAGAGAGAGAGAGAGAAAAGAGTGAATATTGTATTGAATATATATTGCAACAATGAATATAACACTCATTTATATAGGAGGGAAACCTAACTATGGTAATGAATATAATATTGTATGTATGATAGACAGAATATATAGTTATTATATTTAACACTCCCCTTCAAACTCAAGTAAGGATGCCAACTTGAGTTTGGAGAGATAAACTAAAACATGAATTGCAAAATCCGGATGGAAGCGCATGGACGCTTGAGATAGATCGTCGAAGCTAATGCCGAGAGATAGTTTATAATCGTGTCGGACTGTTGGAGGAACATGGCCAGAACTAACGAAGCTAATGTTGGGAGACGAACAAGTGTTGAACAAGCAAACGTGGCACACGCATAACTTATGACGTGGTGCTAAACGATGATGGTAACAAATAAAAAAGTACGCCAAGGGGTGACTTATAATAGTGCACGAGGGGGCGACTTGTGTGGTATGTTAGAGGGCGACTTAGGTGATGCGTGTCACTCCTCGGATTTACACGGTCTGGCTCACGTGAATAAACCACCCAATGGTGAATAATAGATAACAACTCTCATGTAAATGAATATAATATAGTCACACAATACATGTGTTTATCTAATTTCATACATTCCTAAATATAACATCTAAGTCGAATGGATGTTATGTAAAAAAAGAAAAAAAAATGTACAGAAACATTATAAATTAAATTGAACGCCCTGAGGCTTACATCATACACAAAAGGGTGTAGCCCTTATGTAGGAGTCAGAAAAAATAAATAAAAAATATCAGCTTATTGGGACTAACCCAAACAAGGCTTGATAATGGGCCCAACCCAAACAAGCAAGCCCACCAAACAAATATCACATCCCCCATCTATATAAATGAAAGGCATTGATTAAGTCCGAATTGTGCAACACTGAGGCCGTTAATTAGACAAAACCACCATCAAAGAGATAACCAGGAATCTAGGGCATGAAGTCTCCATGTTTACACTTGATCTCGCTCTCCCTTTTGCCTCTTCAAAAAAATGCAAGCGGTTTTGGTATATATAGTTGATGGCATTCAATGGACAAAAAGGTGTGAATGCTATTAAATGAGGCCTTAATTTTTAATGGTACTAGTGATGCACTTGGAAAGTTTGCCATGAGGTTTCAGTAATTATTGCTTTTCATTTGAAGGCTAAACTAAGGTTGTATAATAATTTCATGCAAACTTGGTAATAGTTTTGTTTTCATTTTCTTTATTTTTATTTTTGGTTGTTCTTGTTTCTAATTTTGTATTGGGTGATTGAGAACACGTGAGTGGATACAATGAATCATAATTGATGAAGGAGTATGAACACGTGGTATTACGGGAGTACCTAATAATTTTTCACCCAAAAGTATCTCTGGATTATCAACAGAAGAGAAACCATTCTCTTTTGTTTTACAAGATTTCAAAAATAAAATAATTAAAGGTCTAGCTGACAAGTGTCTCTAGGGTACAAGTAAATGATAAAAATTTTAAAGAACACAAGACATTTTTTACTAAATTCAATGAACTTTTACTGAAATCAATACACTTTATTTTCAAGACATTTTATACATACTTTTCAATAGGGGGCATTTGTTACCATTTGCCAATAATTAAAAGTTCAAAAGTAATATGATTTTCATGTGGTTTTTTGTGTGTGTATGAGAAAACAATTTTGAAAAATATTTTTGTTACAATAACTAAGAGAGAGAGAGAGAGAGAAAAAAAAGAGTAAATATTGTATTGAATATATATTGCAACAATGAATATAACACTTATTTATATAGGAGGAAAACCTAACTATGGTAATGAATATAATATTGTATGTATGATAGATAGAATATATAGCTATTATATTTAACACTCCCCTTCAAACTCAAGTAAGAATGCCAACTTGAGTTTAGAGAGAGAAACTAAAACATGAATTGCAAAGTCTGGATGGAAGCGCATGGGCGCTTGAGATAGATCGTCGAAGCTAATGCCGAGAGATAGTTTATGATCGTGTCGGACTGTTGGAGGAACATGGCTAGAACTAACGGAGCTAATGTTGGGAGACGAACGAGCGTTGAACAAGCAAACGTGGCACACGCATAACTTCTGATGTGGTGCTAAACAATGATAGTAACAAATAAAAAAGTACGCCAAGGGGTGACTTATAATAGTGCACGAAGGGGCGACTTGTGTGGTGTGTTAAAGGGCGACTTAGGTGATGCGTGTCACTCCTCGGATTTACACTGTGTGTTAGAGGGCGAC